CTTTTCTTCAATGTTTGGATTCTCGAGAACATCATGAGTTTCATCATCTTTCGTTTCTACTTTGATGATGATTCTCCAACGTCATGTCTAAAGTCATTTGCTTTTACAATACCTACATCATCATTCACATAAGAATCCTTCCTCGGAAGGGGATTATCATCGAAAACAACATGTATAGAATCTTCTACAACTAAAGTTCTTTTATTAAATACCCGATAAGCTTTACAATTTAAGGAATAACCCAAAAAAAATTCCTTCATCACTTTTAGCATCAAATTTGCCAAGATTTTCTTTACCGTTGTTTAAAACAAAACATTTACATCCAAAAGGATGAAAATAGCTAATGTTAGGCTTTTTATTTTTGAAAAGTTCATATGGAGTTTTCTTTAAAAATGGCATAATCATTACTTGGTTTATAACATAACAAGCGGTATTAGTGGTTTCTGCCCAAAAATATTTTGACAAATTATTTTCACAAAGCATGGTTCTAACCATTTCTTCTAAAGTTTGATTTTTCCTCTCAACAACTCCATTTTTTAGGGGCTCTAGGTGCTAAAAAATTATAGCTAATACCATTATAATTACAAAAATCAGTAAATCCAAGATTTTCAAATTCAGTACCATGATCGCTCCTAACACTAGTTATGGAGTAACCTTTTTCATTTTGGATTACTTTTGAAAACATGATGAATTTTTCTAATGTTTCATCTTTAGTACTTAAAAATAGAACCCAAGTATATCTAGAATAGTCATCTACCAATACAAAGCAATATTGCTTTCCACCCAAGCTAAAAGTTCTAATTGGCCCAAAAAGATCTATATGAATTAATTGTAATACTCTACTAGTTGATACATCATTAATGGACTTAAAGGAAGCTCTTCTATGTTTTCCTTTAGCACATGCATCACAGATTTTATCATTATCAAATTTTAGCTTTGGCAACCCTCTTACTAAATCTCCTTGAATTAGTCGTTGTAAAACACTAATGCTAGTATGACCTAGTCTCCTATGTCATAACCAACTATCATGTTCATCCTTACCAACTAGGCACAAGTTAGTCATATTTATTGTATCTAAATGCACCATGTAAATGTTTCCTATTCTATGACCAACAAGCATAATCCGATTAGATGCAATGTCAATGACTTTACAACCATTAGTTTCAAACATGAAATTGTATCCCTTATCGCATAGTTGACTAATACTCAATAGATTATGCTTTAATTCATTCACATATAACACATTTTTAATTTGTATGGAAGAGGTATTACCTATAGTACCTATATCTTCAATGTGACCTTTTGAATTATCACCAAAAGTCACCTCTCCTCCATTTTTTTCGTTAAACTCTATGAACCGACTCTTGTCTCCGGTCATGTGTCTTGAGCATCCACTATCAAGGTATCATGAGTTTGAATTTGTTTCTAATGCCTTGTAGCAATGCTCCTTTTCCTACAAACATAGATTAATTTTTGATTTTTGGTACCCAAATTCTTTTGGGTCCATATTCATTAGTTTCCAAAATCCTAGTCCCCTTGGGTATCCATTTGTATAGGATATCTTTATCTTTAGTGGTAATGAGTTCTTTAGGAACCCATATACTTCTAACGATTTTACCATTAGAGGTTCTTTGGGGACCTCTATGATTTTAGTTTTTAAAACTTTTTCTAACAAAGTTAGATTTTGAAATTTCTCCATTTTCAAAATGTTTTGTACCAACTTTATCAAAAGAAGTTTTAAGATCATCAATTTCTTTTTGATGATCATCGTTGACCTTTGAAAGTAAATTATGCAAATCAGAAATTTTCTTTTCAAACTCATCTAGTTTGATTTGCAAATCTTTAATTTTACTTTCAAGATCATTGTTGGTCTTGGATATGAGATTATTTTAATTTTTCAATTTTGAAATATCATTTTTGTATTTTAAAAATAATTTCTCATAATCCGAAGCCAAACCAGTATATTCCTCTAATAGCTCATCAAAAGAATAATCTTTGAAATTAAATGAGCTAGAGGTTACCTGAGAGCTTTCCCCGATAGCCATCAAGCACAAGTCTGCTACTTCTTGTTCCTCTTCATCGGAACCTTCATCATCGCTCCATGTAGCCACATGAGCCTTGTGTTTTTTCTTCGATTGACCCTTCTTCTTCAATTGTGGATAATCGTATTTGACATGACATGACTTTTTGCATTCGTAGCAAATAATGGGGTCTTTCTCCTTCGGTTCATTTTTAAAGCCTTCATTTTGTTTGAATTTTCTTCCTCGATTGGGCTTCATCAATTTTCTGAACTGTTTGGCAAATAATGTCATTTCCTTGTCATCGTTATCTTCATCCAAATCAATCTCATCTTTTATGGATTTGAGAGCAACTCCTACGTTCTTCTTTTTCTCCTTCTCCTTCTTTGTTTCGTCAATCTTCTCGAGGTCTACCTCATCTTGAAGCATCATTTCATGAGTGAGGAGAGAACCAATTAACTCTTCGAGAGTTAAAGACTTTAAGTTTTTAGCCTTGATGATTAATGTTTTCTTTGATTGTCAAGCTTTCGGAATAGAGTAAATTAACTTCCTCACAAGCTTCTCGTTTGGAATTATCTCTCTATATGATTTGAGACCATTGACAATCGTGAAAAATCTATCCGTCATAGCTTTAATATCTTCATCCGGTTTCATCCTGAAACTTTCATAGCTATGAGTTAGAAGACTAATTTTAGATTCTTTTACCTCTTCTGTGCTTTCATGAGTGACTTATAGTTTATCCCATATCTCATTGGTGGTTGTACAAGATGAAACTCTTCTGTATTCATCTGGTCCAAGAGCACAAAAAAATATGGATAGCCTTTGAGTTGAGCTAGAACATTTTTGTCTCTACTTCACTCCACAATCTTGAATGAGTGGAATGAATGAAGTATCTATCTTCTATGATATTCCATGCTCCCATGTCACTTGCTTGAATGAAGTACCTCATTCTATTCTTCCAATAAGTATAATTAGCTCCATTGAATCAAGACCAAGGTCGAAGTTTGAAGTAGATGTCATTGATGACTTGAATATCGATATAACTCTTCCCGAATCGACTCAAGAGGCGATTAAACCTTCAAATTAGTGAGGCTCTGATACCAATTATTAAGTTAATCGATCGATGAAATAGCCAAGATAGGGGTGAATTGGTAATTAAAATTTTGGTGGAAGCTTTTACAGAAAATAAAAAATATTTGCACAGCGATTTAGAATGGTTCGACTTTCTCAACCAAAATCTACATTCACTACCTTAGTTATCCACACTAAGGATTTTTTAACAAATTCACTAATTTGTTCTTTCTTTTGAGGACAAAGAGTAACCTTACAACTCCCTCAAGAATTATACCCCAAATTCTTGAGAAACTCTCTCCCAAAGAGAAATACACAAATTTGCAAACTTACAGAAAAACCTCACAAGGTAAGATGTTTGCACAATTCTAGAACAAAGAAATAACACTAAAAAATGAATACAATTGAGCACAATAAGTGTTCTTGAAAACAAATGAATATTGAATAAAAATTTGGTTTGAAATGCTCAAACTTGAGGTTTGATGCTTTCTCTTGATTCTATAGCTTCTCTTCTTAATTGTTGTTGATCAATGGCTCCTAAGCTTGTTTAAATACACCTTGAATCACTTCTGAATGTTGGGGATCATTGGTGAAGTCAATAGAGCCGTTATTGTGTGAAAACAATTAAATAAAACAGTTGGGAGCGTGTGTGCATCGGTACACCATCAGGGTGCATCGGTACACTATGTGTAAAATTCAAATATTTTGACCATTATAAGACTTAGTGCATCGTTACACTAGGGGTGCATCGGTACACTAATTACATTCTATGTTTCAAAAGAGCCAGGAGTACATCGATGCATGGTCTGTGCATCGGTACACAAAATACATTCGAAATAGGTGTGTGCATCGATGCATCGATGCATCATGTGCATCGGTACATCCTTTCATAAAATTGATTTTTGGCTCGATTAAGGTTCGAAATACTTTGTAAAAATTGTTTCAAAAATATTTTAAGTTTAAAACACAATTTTACACTTTAGTAAGGATTGAAATTGACCTTAGAAAAACGTGGAGTAATATTTTGATATTCGATTAATTTAATCGAATATATTTGAAAAAGATTGTAAAATCTTAAAATTCATTTATACTTAATTTGTTATATCGAAACATCAAAATGTTTTCAACAATTTGTTTTAGTACTTAAACTTTCAATTTTTAAAACTATACATAACGTTTAGTTTTTTCATTCTAGTACCCCACAGTTAAAAAATTAACGATTTTAGTACCTAAACTTTTAATTTTTCCCCAAAATCATACATATTGTTTAGTTATTGTTTCATTTTAGTACTCTACCGTTAAAAACTTAATGATTTTTGTACTTAAACTATCAATTTTGATTAATTTTAGTACCTAAACTTTTATTTTTTTCCAAAAATTAACATTAACTTTTTAAATGAGTACTAAAATGAAACAAAAACTAAACTTTAGGTAAGATTTTGAACAAATTGAAAGTTTTGATACTAAAACGGATCAAAACTGATACTATAGGTATTAAACGCGCAATTTATCATATTTTATAACTCAAACTTTATTTGAAACATTTTCTAATTGAGTAAGTTTATAAAATTGAGTTAATAGAGTTATTCTAATTTCTGTTTAAATTTAATTGTAAATATTTATAATCTTTTAACATTGAGTTGAAAAAAATCTATTTGTTAATCAAGTTTAATTTATCCCTAATAAAAATATTTAATCGGAACCAATATTTAATATTTTCTTTTAATTTATTGAAAATTTGTATGAATTTTCTAAATTTGAATTCAATTTCAGTTTACAAACGTGAATTCTAATGGTTTTTTAGAAGATTAATTTTAATTAATTAGAATTAATAAATTCAACCGACTTAATAAACATGAAAAGTATGCCCTTATGAGTTCTGAGTTCAATTCTAAAACCTGTTTATGGACTAATAAAACTCGAAAGCTGCGAACTCTGGAAACAACCAAACCAGGCAAGAAGTCGTCTCATCAACTAACTGGTGTTTTGTTTAAAGCTTTCTTCGGCCGCCACAATGGCGCCTGTAAGAACCACCGGAGGCGCTATTGTCGCTGCAACTGCCGCCTTCTCCATTTCCATGGCTCTCTTCTCTTACTTCCTCTTATTCAAAAGGACCAGTTCGACCCTTCATTCCAACAAGAAGAAAAAGCCCAGAACTGGAGTTGTCGATGCCATTGGCAACACCCCTTTGATTCGTATCAACAGCCTCTCTGAAGCCACTGGCTGTGAGGTTTACTTTCATTCCTTTCTTGAAATTATTTCATTTTATCTTTGTTTTCTGATTTTCATAACTGGGTTTCCCATAACATGTCTATTGACTTGAGCTTTTTTGTTTGGATTTGTGATTTTTTAACTTCACTGCCCTCGTTTTTTTCCCATTTTATCAATGTTTAGCCTTCAAGTTACCCTTTTTGCTTGATTTGAGATCAAACTCTTTCATCTTTTCTGTGATTAATCAATGTTCTTTTTTATGGATTTGATTTCCTGTAAATGAAGGAAAGTGATTTTTTCAATTGCTTTAATTTTTTTTTCTTTTATGTTTTCAGATTCTGGGAAAATGTGAGTTTCTGAATCCTGGAGGAAGTGTGAAAGATAGAGTAGCCGTGAAAATTATTGAAGAGGTAATATATGTGTGTGTATATGTATATATCAATTCAGATTGGTCACATAAACGAAATAAATTAGGAAAATGCAATCTATAATGCACTTTACATTAAACTTCTTGTTTCATAGTGAAAGCTTGCATTTGAAGTATAGCACTTTTAACCATGGAGGAATATTGAAGCCCTATGTTTACGGATAGATGTGTGTTTGTATGTTTTTTCAGAATTTGGGGATTTTATGTTCATAATTGTAAATATTGCTTATGTTTATGTTTAAGTCTTGGCGTTTCTGTTTATTAATCGGTCCGTTTTCTGGTACAATATAGGCTCTCGAATCAGGTGATCTAGCTCCCGGAGGAGTTGTCACCGAAGGGAGTGCGGGGAGTACCGCCATTAGCCTCGCAACGGTGGCTCCTGCCTTTGGATGCAAATGTCATGTAGTCATCCCTGACGATGCTGCTATCGAAAAGGTGTGTGTAAAATACATTGTGGATGAGTATATCCATAGTTTCTTCTCTATATTTTCTGACATTGCAGCATAACTTGAATTTATTTCCTCTTGCAAACTTCTCTTAGTCTCAAATACTTGAAGCATTGGGAGCTAATGTTGAAAGAGTAAGACCGGTATCGATTACGCATAAAGACCATTATGTTAATATCGCTAGGAGGCGTGCAGTAGAGGCAAATGAGTTAGCAGCGAAGCATAAAAAGCCCAGCCAAGTTGATGGAAAAACCCGGGATCAAATGGATGATTGCCCTCCTGATCAGGAGAAAGAAAATCCGAGTTTCTTGAGTCTTTGTAATGGTGGTTTCTTTGCTGATCAATTCGAAAACTTGGCAAACTTCAGGGCCCACTACGAGGGTACTGGACCAGAGATTTGGGAGCAGACTGGTGGCAGTCTAGATGCATTTGTTGCTGCTGCAGGCACTGGTGGTACTGTGGCTGGTGTTTCGAAGTTTCTCCTGGTAGAAATTTTAGCTTCATTTCAATCACTTGTACATATTTATAGAGGGATTAATGGAATTCAAATGTTGGACAGGAAAAGAGTCCAAAAATCAAGTGTTTTTTGATAGATCCTCCTGGTTCTGGTTTGTTCAATAAGGTAACCAGGGGAGTCATGTACACTAAAGAGGAAGCAGAAGGACGAAGGCTTAAGAATCCATTCGACACCATAACAGAAGGGATCGGAATCAACAGATTGACTAAAAATTTCGTGATGGCAAAGCTTGATGGGGCCTTCCGTGGCACGGATAAGGAGGCTGTTGAAATGTCAAGGTCTATCTGTCATCTTTTATATTTGCTCTAGCTGTTGCATTTTCATTCCCAAACGTACAAACTGATTTATTCAGTTTCATGGATATCTGCTTAGACTTATTTATGTTGAATCTGATAGGAAATGATGAGAAAACCGTCTTCGCTGGCACTTTGCACGAATTCTTTTGTGGTTAATATATGCTTGGATTGTGAGCTGTAATCTTTTATCTGCTTGGCATTTCAGGTTCCTTATGAAGAACGATGGGCTCTTTCTCGGAAGTTCTTCATCCATGAACTGCATTGGAGCTGTTCGAGTGGCAAAGGCTCTAGGCCCTGGCCACACCATTGTAACCATTTTATGTGACAGTGGGATGAGGCATTTAAGCAAATTTTACGATGCCAAGTATCTGTCACAGCATGGATTGACACCCACGGCATCTGGATTAGAGTTCATGAGCATCAAATGAGCCCTGCAAAGATTTTGACTCCGACGCAAACATTCTTCATCAAATTGGTTGGCATATTGAGTCGTGTTCGTCGATGGAAATTTCAGAAGTTACTCAGACGAGTTGACCTTAACTTTTGGGGAACGAGCATCCTAAATGATTCATTTAGCTAGGATTGGAACTTAGCATTTTTTTAGTTTTTACACTTGGTGCTTAAGTTGGTTATCATTATTTTGTCCAAAGATAAGAAGAAAGATTAGGTCCATTTAAACTACTTTTAGAAAATTTGGGAAACCCAATTTATACCGAATATTAACACATATACTGCTGTTTTGTTACTTGCATTTAGATTCCTTTGGGAACCGCGAAATTTGGAGGCCTTTTGATGGATACTTACACCGCAAAAATCGGTGTACGTTGTTCAAGTATGACTTGAAACTTCAATTTTGTACAATATAACCAACAGAATAAGCATCTACCCTTAAAGATGAGTGAAAATAAGAGAATTTCCGAGTGGCTAAGCAATGATGCATGTTCATGCTGTTATGGTGAAATCATGAGTTCCGAAGTGTACCAAGGTGCATGTATATGCAAAGAAGGTTGGAGTAAAAATAACTTTAAAATATGACATTCAATGTCTTCTCATTAGTACTAAAACCAAATGGCTTGGTTGATGGATTATTGTCAAACTACATAAGCTCAGTAATTAGCTTGCATACAAGATAGAGACTTATAGTAATGGTATCAGTATGTTGAACTTTGCACCGATTTAAGTATCTTACGACACATAAAGCTTTGATTCTTTGATTCACTGGGGGTATGACTTCTCGAATTGTGACTCGTCGCAATGTGGGTCTAGCCAATCCCTGGGGGAACCCCTGGACATGTTGGGGCTTGCTTTCCCACCACCTACAAGCTCTTTCAAATTTTCTACCTTGTTCTCCCGCCCTGCCCCGCTGATCCTTCTATCAGCTTCTTTTAGTTTTTGTTTAAACCGCTGCTTCCGACTGGACAGATTCAGGTCCTGCCGCCTTGATTGTGATGGCGGTGCACCGTGTGGTCCCAAGTAAATGTTATCTTCTTTTTTGGTCTGCACAAGCCGAAATATATACATGTCTACATATTAGCACCTATGCGTCAACAAGACAAAAAGCTTCAAATAAATGAGTATCGACTCTTGACATCTACAGGTATAGATATTTGCAATTGACCTGCTTCCAATGAGGTTTTGATGTTTCTACATCCAAAGTATAAGCTCTACATTTTTCCGGCTCTTCAATTCCCAAACTAGGAATCACGAATCCATCAGTGTCTGATGAAAAACAAAAAGCAAATCGATTAAAATAAGAAATCTAAGGTTAATCAATTTCAATGATACTTTTTTCTCTCTAAAACAAAGGAATTAAATATAAACAATGTTCCAGCAAATTAACATGTAACTTCATAAGATTTTTATCAAAGCAAAAAACCGAAAGACAATAAATCACCATGTTCATTGGAGACATGGAAACTTTCACCCTCTACTGATAAAGATCAGAATTGCAAACTTGAAAGATAGGAGTTAAACAAAAATGCATCTGGTTTTACTATCATCTTGCTGCAGAACCAAAGGCAATAAAAGAACAACGAACAACAAAAGCTTCATGAACTTAGGCAAGGTAACCAACTGCAAATGCAGACAGGATTTCTTTTTCCAGTTAATAAGTTTATCCAAGAGATGCCAAGTTATCGATTCTTTCACTTATCCATCACATTGATATCCTCCACAAAGTAGAGCTTAATGAATTTATGCATAAGATGTTCTCACATTCGATACAAAGGCAACCAAATACCAACTAAAACAATAAAGAATAATACAAGATACTATAATAGCATGGTAATGAAGGGAAACGCATGAGCCTCAACTTAATGTAGCTCGACATGGATACCATCATGATCCACCAATCAAGAGAAAATCAAAAAAAAATAGGATTAAAATAGATAATTAAAAATACCAAATACCGCCCAATGTTCATAGTTAATGATACCCAGAAAAACAACTCTTCATTGATAATCGATTCAAAGACCCACTTCTCTTAAATATATCAGTAGAATCTAAAAAAACCCACATCTAGAAATTTAAAATAAACAAAACCAAAATTATAAAAAATTGATTTTTAGCTAAAGATCCAAAATTCTTCCATTTATCAGAATTTTCCCGAAAAACAACCAGAGAGAGAGAGAGAGCCAATATACCCCACTCATCTTCCTGTTCATGGAGTGAAGTGGTGTAAACTGGAGATGAGTCCATGAATACTGAAGATCATGGATTTCAACGGCGAAAGGGCAACAAAGCCCGGAAAATGAAAGAGAGACCAACAAAAACCAACAGAACGAATCCAAAACAAAAATATAAAAGGAGAAAGATACGCAATAGCCAATGGTTTTTTTTTTTTTGGTGGGGGGGGGGGTTTGGACTTTAACCCCTCAAAAATAGTTTTAGGGTGACAAATTTCAAAAACTACTAAGTTACTTATATACGATAGGTTAAATTATAGTTTTGGTCCTCTAATAATAAGTTAACTATTTACAAGGTGCCAAATTATAATTTAAGTCATTTATCATATTTAAGTTTAAGATTTAATTATATACTTTAATTTATCAAAATTTAACTAATTTATTAGTATAATTTGTAAATCCAAATAATTTATGTTTGGCACTGGTTTTGGTTATCCAAAAATACTTATTAACCACAAAAACAAACATTAGAAACCTAATTTTAAAAATACAATATTAATCGGATTGAATGTTTGTTTTTAAAAACTTTAGGAAAAGACTCTCTTAGCGCGCCATAAGAATTCTCTTGGCGTACAATAGCTACCATGGTTTTCAGAATCGGATCGGTTAGCGAACCGACTATGTTACCGGTTCACTGGATTAATCGGTTCGACCGATCGGAAGAATCAGGGTGTTTTTTGAAAAATCACCGGTAATCGGTATATTTACCGATCTAACACCGGTCATATTATATTTCTCGATTTAACACCCGTAGCAGTAAACAGCGCTATATGCTGATTTGGCGCCACGTGGAGTATAGCGTGCCCCCTGTACTGCGCTATACATTGACTGGGTTACACATGGGGTATAGCGCGCCCCTTCTCCGCGCTATACGTCACGTAGGGGTATAGCACGGATCAGGGGGCGCGCTATACGCCGTACCAAAATTATATTTAACGTTGTCCCTGGTCCGCGCTATATAATAATTACATATGACGCGGTGCAGGTACCGCGCCTTATATGTTTATAAATACACTCCTCCGGTTCTCACATCTCCTCGCATCTCTCCTATCTTATAAATTAATACAACAATTCCGTCAACGAGTAATAATTCTGGCAATCTTCTCATATTTGATTTAGAAGTTCGTGCGATTTTTCGTTATAAGGTAATTTTGTTATAATTTTTTAATTATACTTATTGTTTATTATTATTATTTGAAAAATATTATACTAATTATTTTCAATTAATTTTTATGTTTGTAAAATTGAAAAGCGGGAGCATACGTCGAAATAGTTTTGCGGTGCAGGTAATAATATAAAATTATATTATTTAAATTATTTACGTTGATGTGTAAAAAAAATTTGTGTTATATTTTCGTTCATATATAATTTATTTAATCAGGTTTGTTTCAGTTATTTTTTTTGCAGATATAATATTGCCGCACTTTTAAACTCAAAGAATGGCGCGACTTTCAGCTATTGTTTATTATGATGGTGAAATTCGAGAAGATGAAATCGACATTGTTTTCGTATCAAATGAGCGTGTTAAAATATCATTCAAGAGAAACATAACTCTTGAGGAGCTGATAACGAAGATTTCGAGGAAGATTCATGTTGGAAGTAGTAGAAGAATGTCATCGTTGCAGTACAGATTTCCAACATCATTGTTGTCATTAACTTATACAACGTTCGAACTTTCGAACAATGATGATGTTCAAATGATGGTTGAAGCTCAAAGTAATTATTCAGACGCCGCTATTGAGATGTATGCATATTTTGTTCAAGTGAGTGCTGTTCGGGGTCAATCTTTAAGCTCACACTATGGGCTGGCTGAACAAGTTGATCAAGTTTACAGCCCGACTACAGTAATGTGTAATGATTTTAATGCCATAATGGGGAGACATTCATCCGTAACTCCTTACGATATGTACCGAGGTGGGTCGACGAACAATCCGTATGGCAACATTGGGTCCAGTTCAAGGGGAAGACATTCATCTGCAAATCCCTTTGACCTTAATATGGAGATGCCATCGACGCAACCATCTGTGCAGTTTCCATTTGACACGATGGCTTCAAGCTCCAGGGGGAGGCATTCGACTGCGAGTTTTTTCGATCTCAATGTCGATATGCCTTCCAGTTCAAGGGGAAGGCGTGCAAGTAGTAGGTTCTTCGACCTAAATGTGGAGAGCATGGAGGAACCATCATCTCCACCAGAAGAACCGCTTCGTGAGCCTGGTGCGGATGGTACTGAGACTATACTATTCATTCACCCAGAATCACCGCAATTCAACTCCGATGATGATGAAGTTCCAAGAAATGTGGCACAAACTGACCCTCCTGCACACATGTATAAAGCTGATTATGGTGCAATGTATGGGCCAGAATTTGCGATATGCCTCATCTCGGTGAATATGGACATTACTCATCAATAAATAATGATGAGTTATCTTTAGGCATGGAGTTTTCAAGCAAAGAAAAAGCGATGATGGCTATCAAAAATTACAATATCCGTAATTTTGTTCAGTCCAGAGTCAACCGATCGACGATCGAAAAATATGTATGCTAATGTGCCCGACGCAAAAACGGATGCAATTGGATGGTTCGTGTATCGAAAATGAAGAGGAAAAACAACATATGGGAACTAACAGTATACAACGGTCCTCACACATGTTGTGCTGGAGGGGTCAACCAAGATCATCCCAACTTGGACTCTGAAGTGATATGCCAAGTCATCATGCCCATGGTAAAAGCAAGCTCTCATATAGCTGTTGCAGTGTTGATTTCAGTTATACAATCGCAGTATGGGTACACTGTCTCCTATAAAAAAGCTTGGTTGGCAAAACAAAATGCCATTGTCAAACTTCATGGCGAATAGGATGCATCTTACAACGAACTTCCAGGTTGGTTTAGGCTGGTACGGACGTTGAATCCTGGGACAATTGTGGACTTTGAAACCTCCTATGCATACCATAATGATCGAGTTCTTCGCGATCGATGCCAATTTACCGGGTTTTTTGGAGTTACCCACAGTGCATCAATGCTGCCAAATACTGCAAGCCTGTGGTCCAGATCGACGGGACTTTCTTGTATGGAAAATACAAGCAAGTTTTATTATTGGCAGTTATCCAAGATGGCAATCGCAACATTCTTCCAGTTGCTTTTTCTCTTGTCGAAGGAGAAGATACAAATTCTTGGGCTTTTTTCCTCCGAAATTTACGTGCATATGTTATCACGAGGGAAAAATCTGTGTCATTTCAGATCGCGGAGCTAGGATCAAAGCAGCAATGGAGTCTTTGGGTCCAATGTAGCAACCACCCTTTGTCCAACATAGGTATTGTCTCTGACACATTGCTGCGAACTATCATGGAAAGTACAAGAAGAATGATGAGCGTCAATTAATTGTGCGCATGGGTAAGTAAAAGCAAGTTAGTAAGTTATACATTTTTTGATCATTTTAATTTTGCAAAGAAAGCAAGTTTGTAAGTTATACATTTTTTGATCAGGTTACGAACTACTTCCTCGAACGTTTGAATCAATGCTTCAAGATTTGCGGGTGAAGAACGAGGAAGGATACGATTACATCAGCCTCATCGATAAAGAAATGTGGACGAACGCATATGATGGTGGATATCGATATGGACACATAGCGGCTTTGGTAAAAACTATATATTTTCGTTTGGGGGCGCTTTTTGCGAAGCTCGGGGGACAAGCTCAAACATGAATGCAAGGCGATCATGTCTATCACCCTAGATTAGTTGCAGATCTACAGAAAAAAATTGTTGCATCAAATGGAATGTCTGTAACAAGCTTCTCTAGAAGGCATGAAATGTTTCGTGTCATAGAGTTGTCGCGACCTCTTCAAGGGATTGAAGCTGTGTCGTTAAGAGTAAATCTAAGGGATAGAACGTGCGACTGCAGGTTTTTTCAAGCTCTGAAGTATCCATGCTCTCATGTGATAGCAGCTTGCTCGCATACACGTCAAGACAATAACCATTTTGTGGATCCTGTATACCTACTATCTGAAGTTTTTAAGGTTTATGAATTTGAGTTTCCCCCCATAGGTAATGACAAAGACCCTGATGAGGTTCAAGATTGGCTTCCAATTATACCAAATCTGAGTTTATTGAGGGAGCGCGGTCGTCCAAAATCCAATCGAATTTATTGCGATATAGATATTCGAGAAAGATATAGATAAGATAGAATATGTGTCCATTGTAGAAACCCAGGACACACTAGAAAAACATGTCCACTTCTGTTGTCATCAAGTAACAATTGATAAGGAAATGATGCATTTGTTTATCAAATAATAATTCTTGTATTTTAATTTGCATTTACTTCAAGTTAATGTCATTCGATAATCGCTGATGAAGATTAAAAAAACGAACACAATCATTAAATTTTATCAAACTAATAACAATTTGGTATTTAAATACAACAAACTTACAATAAGAATTAAATGGTAAATGATAACCAAATTACAATAACTGATATTAAATGGTAATAAACAAAATTAACTGAAATATATTAAAAAAAAGTCCAACAAATTTAACAAAATAAAGTAAGTATTAAATGAGAAATAATAAAAAATTACAATTAAACAAAATAAAGTAAATACAAATATAAAAAAAATCTATCGATGCTTGCATCGCGAATGTGTTCCGCAAGGCGGTGGCTGTCGGTCTCGAGAAGGATTTCTTCGTATCACTGGTTCTGACTTGTCGCTGTCATCGTCGTCGTCGTCATCGTCGTCGTCGTCCTGAGCATGTATATTAGGTTGATGAGGAGCTGATGACGATGAAGCACCTCCATAGAATAAGGACCCTGGAGGTGTATGACTGACTATTCCACCGGCCTGCGAAAACTGGGAAAAAAACTGGGAAAACCCAGACATCACTGAGTGTGAAAACTGTACATGAGGTGTATGTGCTGCGACCATGGGTGATGAGGCTGAACCCGCCAAATATCTAGCATATGAACCCCAAGTTGGATATGCAAACATAGACCCATAATAGCCTCCAGGAGGGGTCATCTGTGACGGTGGCGGGGTTAGAAAACCAGGTGAAGGCGGCGACATCTGGTAATGGAAAGGCGATGGCGGCATCATATATGGTTGCGGCATCATATATGGCTGCGGTGGCTGCTGGGAAG